GCATCATACTTGGTTGGAAAATAGTATAGTAAAATATGCAGTTATTTGCTTTTACTGCTATCTTTTCAATTTGAGTGGTAGTTGATTTGTTAAAGAAAAATTCTTAAATTGGAAAAATAAAATACATTTTAGAATACACATTAGGACTTCAAGTAGTGCACACAATCAAGTTTGGGTCAATTATGAATTGTTCAAGAATAAAAAACAAAGTATTTGAACCTATCTCGTTAAGCAATTGCATCAAGCTTGAACAAATTATCGAATTCGATTGAATGCGTCAATTGATTGTGTTTGATTTCTTCTACGAAAAGGGATAGCGTTTCGACCTGATGAATCTAAAGATTCAAACAATCAAGGAAACTTTCTTGAACTATTGCATTGGTTGTGTGATCATAATGCTGAGATAAAATACCGTTGCTTTGACGAATGCCCTCGAAAATTTCAAATTAACATCATCAAGAGTGCAAAAAGATATTGTGGGTGCTATTTCTTTTTAATGTCTACATATCATTATAAAAAATGCTTGTAATAGTTTCTTCTCAATTTTAGTTGATGAATCTTGAGACATTTCAGTGACGAAGTAAATTTCAATTGTCATTAGTTATGTGAAAAATGGGTCTGTATTGGGACATTTGATTAGTTTCATTCATGTTTCGAATATCACAGCTGGCTCACTTAAGGTTAGAATTGATCAATTATTCTCAACACACAGCTTAAGCATATCTAATTTGAGAAGTCTGGGATATGATGGTGCTAGTAACATGCGATGTAAGTATAATGATCCCAAAGCAATTATTTAAAAAAAAAAAACCCAAATACTTATTACATTCATTACTTTACTCATTAACTTCAACTAGCTCTTGTAGCTATGGCACGAAAAATACCAAAGATTGAAACTTTCTTTACTACAGTACACAAATTGGTGAATGTTGTTGGGGAATAAGCTAAACAGAGTGATCTTATTTGAGAGAACCAAAGATTGAAAATTCTTGTATAACTCAGTGTTGGTGAAATATCAAGCGGACGAGATCTAAATCAAGAAATTACTCTTCAGCGTCCTGGTGATGAATGTTGGAGCTCTCACATAGTTGTTTAATTAACTCGATTGTCATGTTTCAAACCATAGTTGACATTATTGAGACGATTGCTACTGACACTACAAGTGTTGGAACAAGATGTCATGTATGTATTTCATTGGAGTTGATGTTAAAAATTGAATTTGCATTTAATCTACATCTCATGGAAAAGATTTTAGGGATTTCAAACGAATTGTCGGGAGCATTATAAAGATAAGATCAAGATATTGTCGATGCTATGAGATTGGTGCAAATATGTGAAGTCCAGCTCCAACCATGAGGGATGATGGATGTGATTCTTTTTTTGGGTTGGTTTGTTCGTTCTGTGAAACTCACAAGATCAATGTTCTCAATATGAATGATATGTTCATAATTCTAGGTCGTTCATGGCATGAGATAGTGGCAAATTTGCATCATTTTCGCGTGAAAATGTTTTATGACATCATTGATATGCAACTTCAAGAGTTGAATGATCGTTTTTTTAGGTAAATACTGACATCTCCTTTGTGCTGCATGTTTGTCTCCAAATAATTTGCTTGCTGCTTTTGACAAGACCAAAGTGATGCTACTATGTCAGTATTATCTGATAGATTTTGATACAGCAGATATCTCAAAACTTGATGATCAACTAGATACATATATTCTTGATCTGCGCATTTCTGAAGATTTTGAAGGATTACAAGGCATTAATCATATTGCACAGAATTTGGTTGCAAAGAATAAACATGAAGTGTATCAACTAGTTTACAAGCTTGTAACATTAAACTTTAGTTTTCCCCGTGGCTACTACTACAGTCGAGAGAGCATTTTCTATGATAATTTACGTCAAAAATCGTCTGCGCAATCAAATCGGAGATCAATGGTTGAATGATAGTTTGATTGTATATATTGAGAAAAATTATTTTGACAAGATTGAAATGATGTAATTATGGAACATTATCAAAGTATGAGAACACGTAGAGAACAATTGTAATAAGAGATAAACTTTAATTTTTTCGTCACTTTTTTGAAAGTTTGTTTGACTCCCTAATCCAAAAATGTTTGCATCCGCCCTCGATTAGGTGTGTGTATAGAAGTACTATAAACTTGATTAACGACCAGAAAATTTGATGGATTCAATTTCTCCAGTAATTTTTGTGGAAAATGCTACTGGTACATCAGCCTGTACTTAAAGGTGTACATAATGGGTGAGCTGGCGAGATTTTGAATAAAAAACTCGTGAATAATGAAAACATTATTAAAAAGACAAAACATTATTAAAAAGACAGAAACACTCCTGACTGACAAAAATCCATTCAAATTTTTCCTTGGAAACATAACAAATCTCCCATTTCTCACTTCTCACTGACTCCTCCAGTTCTCCACCCGTTCTACAAGCCGACCATCGACGACGGCGAGCAGTTGGGACTGCAGATCTTCGACAGCACAACGATTTCAAACTATTGTAAGGGCTTTTCTCCATTATTGTCATGTTTTCGGCATTTGATTTTGCTCCTTGGCCAGAACAAATCTCCCATTTCTCCACCCGTTCTACAATGCTTGGAAGTCATCGTGCTGTTAGAGGTCTGCAGTCCCAAGTGCTTGCCGTTGACAGTCAGCCCAGATCAGCACGATGACTTCCAAGCATTGTAAGAGCTTTTCTCCATTATTGTTGTGTTCGTGTAAGAAATGTCTTCGAGTTGTTGACTCATTTTTGGGACAAAGCCTGTGCCAAACGGACCTTTAAATGTGAGATGGGTTCGAATTACTGTAAGGGCTTTTCTCCTCTATTGCTTTGTGTTTTGAGTTGGGACGAAGCCTCAGGGCGATTATGGACGATTTTGAAATTGAACCCCCATTCTGGAGCAGTCGTTTGTTCATAAAATGCACGAGTATTTTATATTTGTAATGATGGGAATAAAATGTTGTTTTGGTAGAATTAGTTATTTGGACGATTTCGAAATTTAACCAACATTGCTGAATATGTGAATTTGCATATGTTTTGTTCTACTAGTGTTGTCCTGCTGAATATGTGGATGTTGATTCCTAGCCATTTTATGTCTTGTTGATGTATTTGGGAAAATGCTTTTGTTCCATGTTGATGTGTTTATATTCATAAAGTTTTGTTGTATGATGAGTTCAATGGAGTTGTAACTTGCTGTTATCACCCCTGCAGTTGCATTCGAAAATGGGAGGAAAGAACGTGGAGATATCACCTTGCTGTTATCACCTTTTCAAGACTTATCTCAAATTTTTCAGACTCTGATCTAAAGATTGAAGAGGAGGATGTGGAGATATCATTCAATCTGACTATTCAAAAGGGAACCATGAAATCGAACAATAAGGGGAAGGGGGAGTGTCGTGAAGATTGAACTTGTGTTCAATGACTTTAACTCGACCTGTTATTATGTTTGTGTGAAGAAGAAAAAGCCATCTAATAGACGATTAAGTTAGCTTGCTATTATGTTGTTAACATTGAACTAGCGTTCAATGATTTTAACTCACATGTAATCGATTAACTCGGCTTGCTATTATGTTTATGTGTGTAGAAGATTATGTTGGTGAAATTGAAATTGTGTTGTTTTATTGAGATTTTCATGTGATCTAGAATGGAAAGTTCTCTGCACCCATATTGCCTGAATAGGAGTATTAAAAATAAAGTAATGGGGAATAAAGAGATGATACAGCACAACATCCTAGAGTGGTGAAGTCAAAACACACCTGCCATAATTGAGTTCAATTCAGAATTAAAATACCCTCATTTTAAACACAATAGATAAATCAAAATGTCCGCATCTTAAACACAATATTATTATAGTCCAATGCATTTCCACAAGACAAAAGACGAGTAAATTTAACCAATAATCACTGAACTTTACACTTGATTACTACTTGCTCACTCATCTTTCACATATTACTGAATGCTCACTCATCTTTTCATATAATTACTCATTCACCACTCGTCTCTTTAAATAATTGGGCTACTTTTACGTTAAATTTTTGACAACTTTCGACCACAAAGAATGTCGAATTTTGATATCATTGGAAAGCCCACGATATCCTCTTCAATTACCATCCAAAATCTCATTATAACTCCAAGGGATTTGATCGAAAAATTGCCTTAAAAGTCGCCCAAAAATTCTGAAAATCTGCCCATATTTTCAGATTTTTTGGGCGACTTTTAAGGTAATTTTTCAGCAACTTTCGACCATCAAAACTATTTAATTTTGATACCATTGGAAAGCCCACAATGTCCTCTTCAATTACCACCCAAAATTTCCCGATAACTCCAAAGGATTCGGTCGGAATAAATCCACAAAGTCAGCATCCCGAACTTTGTCCAGATTTTCGCCCTTTCAAGATACTGACTTTGTGGGTTTATTCCGACCGAATCCTTTGGAGTTATCGGGAAATTTTGGGTGGTAATTGAAGAGGACATTGTGGGCTTTTCAATGGTATCAAAATTATATAGTTTTGATGGTCGAAAGTTGCCGAAAAATTGCCTTAAAAGTCACCCAAAATATCTGAAAATCTGATCAGATTTTCTGAATTTTTTGGCGATTTTTAAGGCAATTTTTCGATCAAATCCCTTGGAGTTATAATGAGATTTTGGGTGGTAATTGAAGAGAACATCGTGAGCTTTCCAACAGTATCAAAATTCGACATTCTTTGTGGTCGGAAGTTGTCGAAAATTTGCCGTAAAAGTAGCCCAATTATTTGAAGAGACGAGTGGTGAATGAGTAATTATATGAAAATATGAGTGAGCATTCAATAATATGTGAAAGATGAGTGAGCAAGTAGTAATCAAGTATAAAGTTCAGTGATTATTGGTTAAATTTACTCGACAAAAGACATGTATTTCAACTACATAATCAAAATCAAAAGATGATTACAAAAAAATACCAAGTGCACAGGATACAAAAAATACAAATGTACTCATTCCAGTTCAATTACAAAATAATACTAATTGTATGTGTCTCCCAAAACTCAAAAATCAGCACCAATAAAGTGTACAGGTTACAAAAAATGCCAATTTTGTTTCTTGATGGTCCAACTGCATGAAGAGAAACAGAAAATGACCCAATCCAAAACCAGCCTACTTCATTCATATCGCATGATCATAAGTCCTACACCCAATTCACAAAGCCAATTCACCATTACAGCCAACAAAAAATCTAACTGTATCACTACAAAATCCATTAGAGGACATCTAAAATACATTTAAAAAAATAGACTCCATTGACAAAAAGGTTGCCACAAATGAGATGTCACTCCACGACAAAATTACGTAGGCTGTTTTCCACGGCATGAAGACCACAGGGAAGTGGCTACCAAGGTGGTGCAACTCATCAACAAGAGTAGTTGTAACTGCTGGTCCAGATTCTAATATCCTTGCGGGCTATCCTCTTGCAACCGTAGATGTAGGCATGAATTGCATTTGATGTTCTTCACGCTGCCTTGGCTCAATTGTCCCTTCCCTCTTGTGTCCACCATTTTGCCCTATGAAATCACGGAAAAAGAACCAAACTGTGATGATTAATATAGGCCAAATACAATTATAAATTCACACGATAAAATGCAAGACAACCAAACATGGCTGAAAGCCAAAAAATAATAAATATCAGTTTTTGCTCTAAAAGAAAGTCAAAGAACAAGGCAAATTGCTAAGTTAGTAACGGCATTTGCCATTTTCCTCAGTCCAGCATTCCAAATAAAACATTCCACTTTTATCATCACTTCCAAGTAGCCACAAAATTTATTGAAGTACAAGTTAGAAGGCTATTGAAAAGGAGAAGTTCATAAATAATAATTAATCAACGAAACATATATAAGTCCTTAGTCAAAAGTTCATTGCTACAAAAACATAATTGACACAAAAAACTAAAGAAAAACACAGAATCATTTCATCACGGCAAAAAATCAGACACTAACCTGGCCAAATGACCGGTAAAAGTCCATGAAAAAAATTAATTAACCTCTAATGTAAAAATCCTGTAAAAAGACGTAACATTCCAGAGCATGCTGCTTGCTGCAGAGACAAGAATTGAAAATTTTAATAAATGAGACAAATTGAATAAAATAAAAATGGAGAGAAAATAAGATAATTATCAAACTACAGGAGATGTCACCTTATGCACTGGAAAGACTTCCCCATAATATTTCTGATGCATAATCAGTTTGAAAATTGCAAGATTAATGTAGCAAAAAGATTTATCCACAACGAACTGGACACATTGCAAACTTGATGGTTACTCTGGGTCTGCTTATCTGTAGCAGAGGAAGGAGATGAAGAAAAACGTATATAGGCTAAAAAATTGACGATAAAGAAAAAATGAAACAAAATTATTTTCACCGTTGCTGTCGTCTTCTTCATCGCGGCCGACTTCATCGCCTAACGTATCGGAAAGCATCCACAAAAATCAGTGCTACTAGGTTGAATCTCGTTAGAAGGCACTCCTTGCTTCTACGGTCGTCTCTTGACCTCAGTGGGGGAAATGTGGATTTCAATAAGGAAATGTGAAGATTGAAAGGGGGGGAAATGTGAAGGTTGAAGGAGGGAAATTGGAAACTTGAAAGAGGGAAATGTGAAGATTACGAGGGTTTTCTTTCTTTCAAATTGGGGATGTCGGCAATTTTTTATTATTATTATTTTTTTAAAGTGAACGAGATTTTCCAGTCAAAATGTCGTCAAAATATCGCCAGCTCACTCATTATGTACACCTTAAGGTAAATGCTAATGTACTAGTAGCATTTTCCAATTTTTGTTGCAATAATGCTACTTAAATAGGGATTGGAAACAGTAGCTTTGACAGGTGTTGTATTATTTTTTATTTTTCAATAATGTTGTGACACGTGTCCCTATAATTTTAAAATCTGACATTGAAACAGTCACTATAACATAACTCTTTTTGCTGACCCTTCCATAGGTCAATTGAAATGATGTAGGGACCACATATGAAATCTATCTTGTCTGATGTATTGAAAGTTTAGGACCATATGTTTTTCTTGCAATTTTATATTTGTTTTCCCTTTCAATCTCACTAAGGAAATTGAAGGATTCGATGAACTTGTGATATCACTGGGTACGTCAAAATGATATGGACATTTAAAGTTTTGTCTCGTCTTATTCACAACGTAAGAGATGTAAAGAGATTTCCATCAATTTCCATCCTCTTTTTGAATACTATAACACTTAAAAGAAAAATAAAATTTTAATATTGTGTTTATATTAATGTTGAGTACATCATAGTGATTATGTATTGGGGAAAACCACTATTGCACCCCATGGGGTTGTCACCCAAGAATCACTCATATGTATTCTCATAATTATATTTTTATTATTTATGTCATTAAGATTGAACACCAATATTTCATAGAAATATTTTCTCGACTTAAGTTCTTTCCTCAAAAATTAGCAAAATTAAAATTTTAAATGTTTAAACAGTCAACCAAACACAATATAAATTTTCAAATTTAAAATCACATATTATTTTATGAAATATTAGCTTGTATAATATTTTGTTTGATTTCAAACATGTGTTTTACTCATTTATAATATACATATATCATATAACAAAATCATTTAATCAATTCAAGTAGTTGTACATATTAAAATAATAGAATATGACCATTTGCAGAACAAGTTAAATTCCAATCTTCTCAGAATTCACGACAACTGAATTTGAGAAGTGAGAAAGACAAAACATAAAAATAAAAATTAATAAATAGAATAAAACAATCTCCCTCTATCTCTTCTCCGTTGAGTTAGGAATCAGATTCTGGCACGGAAGATGATTTCTTGAAAATAGTGGAAAAGAAACCAGCCGAATAGTCAATTTTTTTCCCCTTTAACATTTTTGCTTTATATTGTCGAGTAATGCTATTTATCATCATAATAATAGACATTGGTGATGTGGCAACCCCTTACCCCTCATAGTTCTCTCTCTTGAGACCACTTCTCCTCCCCCTCATAAAAATGGAATTGTCCAATCATATTATTCCATATATACTATAACAGGGCCGATATTCCATCATCATAATAATAAATAGTATTATTCTTTCTTGACACGTCTTGTTTTCACCTGTCTCTTCATTTTCCGCGGGGGGAGTTTTCTTATTGTTTAAAATGTTAAAGAAATAAATTTCACAAGGAATAATCATAAAATAAATAATCAACATACAATGATTTGGATCTTACTAGTAGTAAGCACGTGCTTATGTATCAAATGAATGCTTAATATTTTAAAGTATTAATACAATTTTTTAAAGTAATTGAGGTAATTAATATTATTAAAGGAAAAATTATAATTAATATATATGAAATTATGTATATATAATGTCAAAATATTGAATAAGGGTAAATTGCTCTTATTCTTTCATTTTGAAGTCAATATATTTTCTCTCTCTTGAGTACGGGAAAGAACTTTTTGATTGTGTCCACAAATAACGTAACTTGGTAATTATTTCCTTGAGTACATTAAAAAAAAAAACATATTAGTCTAATTGTGATAGTTCTACGAGAAAAGCATTGGCCAATTCTGGCATTATATATCTCAAAATTAGTTTTAAAACTTCAATGGGATCGTTCTTATTGTTGTAGATCTCAATGAAAGTACAGATACTTTTATAATCCACTTCTTCAAATGCATTTGTTTGTCAACATAATTGCAATCTTTGTTTGGTGAAATCAATCCTACAAGTATGAAAACAAATTTAAAATATAATAATAAAAATATACATTAACAATTAACAAAATGGAAAAAGTTAATATTTTTCGAATTTTGTTGATATATCGATGAACCAGACATCATTTGTGTTATTTTTCGACGATGATGTATTTATCTGTAATTTTTCCAGCATACAAAATAAAAAAGTCATGACATGTTAGTTTAGTAATTTATTGGCACAAAACATCCCTGCCTTTTAAGTGTATACAAAACATTCTTGCCTTTTAAGTGTATTGTGAAAAACGTCACTATCTTTTATTTTTTGACATTTTTGCCCTTATTTTCACCTTTCATTTTTCTGAAGGTCCTTTTCACCAATTTTTAATGGAAAATGAACAATATACCCTCGTGTTTAAATAAAACAAAAGAAAAAAGAAAAGAAAAGAAAGATAAAGCAAAAATTGCAATCATACCCCTAAACTTTTTAAAAGTGCCAATGAGTCCCAAACTAATTTATTAAAATTGCAATCGTCTCATCCATGTCCTAAATCTCTGAACTTATTTCTCTCATCTGCATCATCTCCCCTTCCTTGGACACACCGCACGTGACCACGAGCAACAGCCAGGATTGAAGCAAAGCGCACCTGCACTTCCCCGGTCAACCAATGGCTCTATTCAGTAACAGGATTAATAATAGTATCATCAGTAATCCTTGCAAAAGTTGACAACGCACACACGGAGATTTTTTATCGAAAGGAAGAGAGGCAAAGTAGAGAAGAATAGCAATAAAAATGGCAGGAATTGCACAGGATTAGGAACTGGTTGTTATCCATAAGAAGGCACCCACTGTCGTTGCTCATAAGGATGAGAAAGCGGTCAATGCCGCTCGCCGTTCAAGCGTGGAGATCGAAACCCTTAAGAAGTTGTATAACAACTCCGTTGCGAAAAAAATAGTCGTGTGCACTTTCCGTCTCTTTGTTTGATTTATTTATTTCATCTACTCCCTAATTATCTCTGTATTTTTGAAAGTTTATGCAATTGATTTGGTCAATCCTCTTAATTTTTTGCTTGTCAATTTTGAAGGGTGAGCACCGGTCATAGTTTTAATTTCTTAGATTTTATTGAAAATTAATTTGTCTTAGTAGTTTATATCAACTGCTTATATTAATTTTGATGGCTGTGGTACTAATGGTGATGAACGATTGATTTTTGAGGAAGAGTGGTGATGAACGGCTAGAGTGGGACCGTCTAAATGAGGGAGGATATGGGCTTCTATGATGTCTGTGTGCAAACTAGAAAAATCGGTGGTACTATTGTGCTCCTCCATCGTGGCTGTGGTGGTGGTAGACGGTGCAGTGGTGGCATTCATTTCTTGAGATTTTCCTCCCTCTTGTTTCAAGCTTTTCAAATAGTGAATGTATGTTAAATGATTGGACTCATTTGCAATTTTAATAAATTAGTCTGGGACTCATTTGCACTTTTAAAAAGTTTAGGGGTATGATTGCAATTTTTGCTTTATCTTTCTTTTCTTTTCTTTTCTTTTATTTTATTTAAACACGAGGGTATATTGGTCATTTTCCATTAACAAATTGGTGAAAAGGACCTTCAGCGGAACGAAAGGTGAAAATGAGGGCAAAAATGCTAAAAAATGAAAGGTATGAACGTTTTCCACAATACACTTAAAAGGTAAGGACGTTTTGTGCTAATTACCCTTTATTTATAAATATTGAAATATTATATAGCAAATATAGGACATATCACACAAATATAATATCATACAAAATATGTTTTTATTAAGAATATGATTGTAGTTAGATACCAATATTATGCAACGACATACGTTAATTATAATTAACACTTCAAATTTTGTTTAATATCAAAAATTGGGTAAATATGAAAAAAAAAATGTCAATGGTTTTATTTTAATATGAAAATCAGTCAAAGTAAATATTAAATCATAGTTCAATAAATAATAACTAAATGAAAAGCATTAAAATTAGAAATATTAAAAATATAAATCGCCAAGCTAAAAATGAGTCACAGTGGTGGAAAGAAATTTGACATATAGATGTCCAACCGATTATGTCTCCACAAATTTATGAATATGAATAAAAAAAATGCATATTTGCATAAATATGATGAGACAATGTCGGGTTGCCACGTGTTTAGGACGCTCCAAATAAATGTATATATACAACTGAAATGATTGGTGGTAATAAATAAATCCAAAATAGAAATTTAATACAACTAAATCTATAATGTTGGAAATTAAGGGTGTGTTTGTCACCAATTATTTGGAAATAATGTATTATGGAATAGTGATTGATGTTGAAATGTGTAGTTAAAAAAGAAGGAAAAGTTTCGGATTTAAGTGTAATATTATTTTAATAAAAAATGTGTAGTTGAAAATGAGTATTGTAGAAAAAATAATAGGAAAGAATGGAGAAAATGGATGACAAATAGGAGCTAAATTGAAATGTGAACCAAGCTTAACCATTTGTCAAAAAAATTGGAAAAAAAAAATATCACAACACTCATCAACTTATAGCTAGCTTATGTTCCTCATTTGAATCTATATTATTAAAAGAATTAAAAAAATAAAAATAGAAAGAAAAATAATTACATTATCTTTTTAGCATAATAAAACATTTCTTCAAAGAACAAAACAATCATTTTTTTTTTTTTTTGGTAAAATTTATCTCATGCAAATCAACTTCTGCAAAATTTCAATATCAAGCATGACATTCACATACATAAGTGTCATCTGAGCCACTTTCAAGTTTTAAGAAGCTTTAGCCCATAACAAATTGCTTCGTTGACAATAGTTTTTACATTTAGCCCATAACAAATTGCTTTAATTGACAAAATTTTTATAATAAAAATGATGATTTTTATAACTATAATGATCTTAATTATATTTATTAGATAGTGTATGTAATAACAGAAAGTAGCCTT